CTAATGTCAGGCTTTGATGAACTGTACATAATGTTGAGCTTGGCTTCCAGAAGACTATCAAAATGCTGTATATAACCCCCAAAGCCACAATTAATAAACCCATTAATTTTTTTAACTTAATTTGCAATCCAGATTTGGGTATTATTCATGTTGCTGGCAAATCATTATTTTTTTTTTCTTTTATTATTCATATGTACATACAAGGCTTGGTTCATTTCTCCCCCCTGCCCCCACCCCCTCCCTTACCACCCACTCCACCCCCTCCCGCTCCCCCCCAATACCCAGCAGAAACTATTTTGCCCTTATCTCTAATTTTGTTGTAGAGACAGTATAAGCATTAATAGGAAGGAACAAGGGGTTTTGCTGGTTGAGATAAGGATAGCTATACAGGGCATTGACTCACATTGATTTCCTGTGCGTGGGTGTTACCTTCTAGGTTAATTCTTTTTGATCTAACCTTTTCTCTAGTACCTGTTCCCCTTTTCCTATTGGCCTCAGTTGCTTTTAAGGTATCTGCTTTAGTTTCTCTGCATTAAGGGCAACAAATGCTAGCTAGTTTTTTAGGTGTCTTACCTATCCTCACCCCTCCCTTGTGTGCTCTCGCGTTTATCATGTGCTCATAGTCCAATCCACTTGTTGTGTTTGCCCTTGATCTAATGTCCACATATGAGGGAGAACATACGATTTTTGGTCTTTTGGGCCAGGCTAACCTCACTCAGAATGATGTTCTCCAGTTCCATCCATTTACCAGCGAATGATAACATTTCGTTCTTCTTCATGGCTGCATAGAATTCCATTGTGTATAGATACTACATTTTCTTAATCCATTCGTCTGTGCTGGGGCATCTTGGCTGTTTCCATAACTTGGCTATTGTGAATAGTGCCGCAATAAACATGGATGTGCAGGTGCCTCTGGAGTAACAGTCTTTTGGGTATATCCCCAAGAGTGGTATTACTGGATCAAATGGTAGATCGATGTCCAGCTTTTTAAGTAGCCTCCAAATTTTTTTCCAGAGTGGTTGTACTAGTTTACATTCCCACCAACAGTGTAAGAGGGTTCCTTTTTCCCCGCATCCTCGCCAACACCTGTTGTTGGCGGTGTTGCTGATGATGGCTATTCTAACAGGGGTGAGGTGGAATCTTAGCGTGGTTTTAATTTGCATTTCCTTTATTGCTAGAGATGGTGAGCATTTTTTCATGTGTTTTCTGGCTATTTGAATTTCTTCTTTTGAGAAAGTTCTGTTTAGTTCACTTGCCCATTTCTTTATTGGTTCATTAGTTTTGGGAGAATTTAGTTTTTTAAGTTCCCTGTATATTCTGGTTATCAGTCCTTTGTCTGATGTATAATTGGCAAATATTTTCTCCCACTCTGTGGGTGTTCTCTTCAGTTTAGAGACCATTTCTTTTGATGAACAGAAGCTTTTTAGTTTTATGAGGTCCCATTTATCTATGCTATCTCTTAGTTGCTGTGCTGCTGGGGTTTCATTGAGAAAGTTCTTACCTATACCTACTAACTCCAGAGTATTTCCTACTCTTTCTTGTATCAACTTAAGAGTTTGGGGTCTGATATTAAGATCCTTGATCCATTTTGAGTTAATCTTGGTATAGGGTGATATACATGGCAAATCATTATTAATTGCTAAATATTGCTATTACAAAGTTTTCTCACTGCACACTATTCTATTCATCCAATGAACATTTGTTTTTTTGGCGGGGTATGTCTTTAGGCTTGCTCTTACAAGTTTCATAATAGATACTACATTTTGAACTATCTAAGTCCCAGAAACTGATATCAAAGTAGGAAAAAAGCTGGACATAACTGAATTCAACCCAAACAGCAAATATGAACAAGACTCCATGCTATAAGCCTTGCACATAAAATCTCAAACTATAATTTCTCAGAAACCCCCAAGCAATGTAAAATTAAAGTGCTTAAAGTATGATTATACTAGAAAAAGCCACAAGCTTTGTGTGACATTTTATGAAACCTTGTCTGTAAGTTGTTCTTTTTTGTTTGTTGTTTGTTTTTGAGACAGAGTCTCACTATGCAGCCCAGGCTGGACTGGACTCAGTCTTCCTGCCTCTGCCACATGTGCTGAAGATGACAGGTATGTGCCACCCTCCTTGGTTCCTGTAAGTTGTTCTTTACCTCTAGTTTGACTCTTAGGACCTACTCAACTACTCAACACGAGATACATATGAACCACTTGCTTACACATAATGAAGCATTTAAACTGAATCACTGTGAAAGGCTGAAGATATAAACAGTATTTGTAGCAACCCTAGAGGAGACTCAGATCATTTTGTTTTGTGGTTAATACCTGTTCGTGTTGCTGGAGCCTGACTAACTGACCTAAGCATGCAAACAAAAACCTGCATCACCAGGTCCCAGATTCCAGAAAGAGGGAGAGCCAAAGCAAATTCCTGAGGAATACATGGACCATAAGCAACTCTCATTTACCTCTGAGATTCTGAGCACAATTGATAAAGAATGATGATGAAGAGATTTAAATTGTCATTATAAAAATTTATCTGTGTAAATTTGGGTTCTCTAAGAAACAGATGGCAAGATGTGATTAAATCTGAAAGTTTCATTGCGGAGCCATCTATAAACTATAAAAGGCATGCTTCTGACACCAGGCAGGGTCTGACACCAATGAAGGGGAGAATGAAGGAAAGGAAGATAGAGTGGGAAGTCTGAGACTCTTAGTCTCAGTACTAAGAAACTTCTGGGCAGGCTAATGGGAAGTCCTTCAGCCAATGTAGCCCATCAGGGTAATGAGGCAGCATTCATATTCACAGCCCTCCCATACTCATTTGTTGGCTGGAGAAGTAGGAGCACAGTGGTGAATCCCACAGGGTAGCAGCTGGGGTCTGAATCAACTCTGCTTCCCATACAAGATTCAAGTGATGTATTTCCATGGCTGCTACATCATCTTTTCTAAGTACCAAATTGATAGTCTTCAAGCTCTTTCATTAAAGTTTGAAGGACATAAAGACCACAAATAATTTTATGCCACCAATTTTACCTACGATAGTTGACATCTGTCACAAAACATGTTACTATGAACAGAAGCTAATAATTCTATTAAGACTTTGGCTGTATGTATTTTCTACTTGCTTTTAAATTAGCATATATTAGTTTATGGGGTGTACGTATTTCCTTGTGACATTTGCATATGTGCTTACAATATGTCTTAGATTCACCCCACTCCGTCATTCTCCTTCATCCCTACTTCCCTCTTCTTAGAACAATTTCAACAGGTTTCATTTTTTAATTTTCATATGTGTTATACTTGCTTTTGAAGTACATGCATTTTCTTCTCTATAACACATCATAATGACTAGTATAGGGTTTTTGTTGCCTTTTAATATACAATACAAAATAATTTTTAACATGGTATTTTTGGAATGCTAACTTCAAAAACTTTCACTAAGTTGGGCTAATTAGGCTGACTAAATTATAGACTATTTTAAAGAAGAAATGTGGTTCTTAGCAGCATGGACAGTTAACTACAAGGAGAACAAATGTTGAGTCAGAGATGACAACTGATATAAAGACAACCAACAAGTCCTAATTAGCACATTTGTTTCTAGAGAGAACACATTTTTAAAAGTTTATTCTCTTAAATAAGTCTTCTCACAGTTTTCTAAAATTATCAGCCCACTGCTTTCTGTCTTCTATAGGTTCTGCAAACCACTTCATCTAGGGGATTCAAGTACAACCTTGGGGATGAAGGTCCAACTTCTGCTGAGGCCACAAGACAAACAGCAAAAGGATGCCTTAGCGAAGCCCAGCAGTTCTGTCCTCCTTTCATTTCCGATCTGTAAACTGGACTTGACTTTTCCTGACCCAGTTATCAAAAGGCCACAAGGTAGAAGCTTTTGAGTCATCAAATCAGACTAAGCTGACTCATTCCATCTCCTGCTTTTCTCACATTTTTATATCTGAATTTTATGTTTCACAAACTAATATACATTTCAGTTCAGCTCACCCATGCAAGTAATTTTTAACTAATTACTTAACTAAGTACTTTTTAACTAATGATTTTAATTTTTAACTAATACTTAACTATTTTTTAACTAATGATTTTTAATGTTGTACTCATATGAAACTATTTTAACTCAAGTATTTCCAATTTTTGTTTTTATTCTTTACCCCAGGAAGCCTAGGGACTTGGAAAAGCACACTCATGATGTAAGGACAGCTAACACTGAGAGGTATGCACTGTTTCAAGTGGCTTACATACTGGGATGGTTTTGTGTCCATTTGAATAGGCCACAGGGTACCCAGATTAAACATGTTTCTGGATGTGTCTATGAGGACATTTCTGAATGAGATTAACATTTATTGCAATTTTTTGAGGGGAGTGTGTCTTGCTACGTTGCAAACTCATAGGCTCAAAGTCTTAGGCTCAAGAGATCATTCCATTTCAGCCTCCCAAGTAGCCAGGACTACAGGCACCTACTATACTTCTTTTGACATTAACATTTGAATTGGTAGACTCAGTAAAGTAGCCTGTCCTCCCTAGTGTAGTAGGGCATCATGCAATCCAATGAGTATTTGAATAGGACAGAAGGAAGAAGAAGGAAGAATTTACACCACCCAGCCCCCATGTGAGCCAGGGCATCTCATCACTTCTCTTCCTCTCAGACTGGATTTATATAATCAGCTCCCATGGTTCTCAGGCCTCTGGACATAGACTGAATCACACTACTGGCTTTCTTGGATTTCCAACTTGCAAATGGCAGACCAAGGGACTTCTTAGTCTCTACAACTGTATAGCCAATTCCTCATTATAAATCTCCATCCGTCTCCCTCTCTCTTTCTCTACCACATACTACTGGTTCTCTTTCCCAACTGCCGTACGAGGTAGAATTATTTACCTCCAATTTACACAAAAGAATACTGAAGCACAGAGAAGTTTAATAACTTACCAAAGGTTATACTGATAGTTAAGTAGGAGGATAAAGATTTGAATTTAAGTAGTTTGGCTCGAAGTTAAATTTTTTTTTTGTCATTTGTGGCTATCTCAAAGTGTAATGCATTATTTAACTCACATTTTAAAAGCTACTACCATGTAGCCCACAACAGCACAATCATTTAAATAAATTATTTTATTTACATGTACATTTTATAAGCAACTGAGTAATTCAAATGGAAAAATGCTGAAATAAAGGTTTGGAGCTCTAATCATACACTACACACCCCAATATATTTAAGAGTTAACATGTGCTAATATAAAAATATTTTCCCTTTCCTAATTTATAGCAGCATATTTTCTTCTAAAGCCATCATATATATTTTTTTAAACACATGATAGGAATGAGAAGATGACTTAAAGGATATAAATAATCTGAAATAAGTAATTAAGATGTACATATTCAGAAAAAATACTGAAGTTAAAGAACATGTATTTAAAAATCAATACAGCGTCCTTTTCGTTCCCAATCTCCGTATCGGGTAGGTTCTGGGCCCCTGGGTCCACCTTTTTCTTTGGTAACTGGATTAATATCATCTGGAAATCCTAAGGAAAGACAGAAGACATAAAGTAGTCAATAGAGATGGGAGAAACAATATGGCCCATTTTGAAGGCAGGACTTCATAATAGGCTAGGTATGACTGGCCAGGTTATTACGTAGTGTTTAAATGAACTGTAAATCTGGTTCTATTTCCCAAGTTTGAAAAATCACTTGTAGCATGCAGTTTTTACATTCAATCAATGATATCATCAACATTAATAACAATCCTTGGAGAGCTTTCAGGTCCCAGTCTAGAGAGTAGCTCTGCATCTGTTACTGGACCTAAGCAGAAGGAAAGGAGCATACAGAACACAGTGCCAACTCATGGAACTTGGAAGGTTTTGACACAAAGGATATTTTGAAGGAATAACTGTGACTCAGTATCTCCATTTTTTTTTTTTACCAATAAAATGGACAGAATAATTTCAGCTGCCTTAAGGTGTTGAAAATTAAGTAAGATGATGCACGTAAAGAGTCTAACACAGTGCCAGATACATAGGATGCTGATGAATGTTAGCTATTGTTTCTATCATAGGGCTTTGGCTTCAGCAACTGGTTAGCCAGTACTGACATTTATGGACATAATTGCAAAGATTATGTGTTGTACTCTGTGTTCACAGCAGAAATCCCCATCATAAGTTAGGTCAAATTTTAAGCTGTTTATTTAACTATTTTTTTCAAATGGGGTCTCACTATATTCCTTACGCTGGCCTCAAAACTCCTGGGCTCAAGTGATTCGCCTACCTCAGCCTCCTGTAGCTGGGATTACAGGCATATACCACCATACCCAGCTCTCAATTCTGGGCACTTTATATATATTAACTCATTTAATTGTCATAATAATTGTATGAGACAGGAAGAAATGGTGTACCCATTTTAGAGATGAGAAAATGAGACACAAAAAGCTAAGAAAGTTGCTTAATGTCACACAGTTACTAATTGGTAAAATGAGTCTGAATTCAGACACTTTGACTGCAGATTTGCTCTCTGCCCACCCACTGCACTACTATGTACAGAGAGAAAATGGGAGAGCAATCACTATGAAAAAGAATTCTTCAGTTTTTCTTTTTAGGTACTGGGGTTTGAACTCAGGGCCTTGGCATGCTAGATAAGTACTCTACCACTTGAACCATGCTGCCAGCCCTTTTGGCTTTAGTTATTTTTCAGGTAGGATTTTACATTTTTTTTTGCTCTGTCAGCCTGGATCACCATCTTTATACCTATGGCTTTCAGTGTAGCTGGAGTCACAGGTGTGCCCCACCACCCCAGTTTGTTTTGTTTGTTTTTTAAGATGGGGGTCTTACTAATTTTTTGCCTGGATTGGACTCTAACCACAATCTCCTGATCTCTACCTCCCAAGTAGCTGGAATTACAGGTGAAAACCACCACACTTGGCTTATAGAACCTCAATTCTTAAACAGTCTCTTTCGAAAACTAAAAGACCATTTCCAAAATCATGTAGCCCCTCCCCAGACAAAAGATACAGAATTTATCTTGGAAAATTCAAAATATTTCTTCATGCTTTTATTTTTGCTCTACTATGAAAATAGCTCTCCCACATCCTCGTCATCATTCTGTTCTCTAAAGTAGTCTGGGCTAGAGCTGAGTGGGCACGGTGGCTCACTCCTATAATCCTGGCTAGGCAGAAGAGAGCCATAGGAGGATCGCGGTCTGAGGCTAGCCCCAGGAAAAAGTTTGAGATCCTATTTGAAATATAAATAAAAACAAAATGGGATGGAGATATGGCTCAACATATGGCCCTGAGTTAAAACCCCAGTACATCAAGGAAGGGAGGGAGCGAGGCAGGGAGGGAAGAAGAGGCAAGAAAAGAAGGGAAGGGAAGGAGGAAGGAAGGAAGGAAGGAAGGACTCTGTAACTCTTTCCTACTATGACTTCCCCTGAGGCCTTTCTAAAATAAGTTTGTCTGTCTTCTCCATCTCTGGGACTCTCTGGGTATGTTATTATTTGGGACTACAGACAGAGTGTTACTTTCTCATAGTCTAGAGGCTGAAAATCCAAGGTAAGTGTGCTGGCATGGTCAGGTTCTCCTGAGGGCCCTCTTTTCAGTTTGTAGACAGCGCCTTCTTGCCGTGTCCTCACATGGTGGAGAGGGAGACAAATAAGCTTTCTGCTGTCTCTTCTTATAATGGCACTATTTCCATCATGAGAGCCCCACTTTCATGAGTTCATCTAATCCTAAATATCTCCCAAAGGCCCCTTCTCCAAATACATCCCATTAGGAGTTAGGATTTCAACGTGCTAGTTTTAAGGGACATGAGTAAGCCTACAGCACAAGGAAAAAAACAACTGGTTGAACTAGGTGTGGTGGGCTACTCAGAAAGGTGACTTGGGAGACAGCTTGAGCCCAGCAGTTCTAGGCTAGCCTGGGAAATATAGTGAGACCCTACATCCTAAAACAAACATACAGCCAAATCGAGATGTTTCTTTGCCTCACTGCACTGCTACTTTCATTCATATTCTGGATATTATTACAGACTTTCCTTTTTTGAATTCCACACCATTCAATTGTCCAATGCTTTTTCTCCAGTTTACAACAAAGTCATAAACTATTCTATCTTTTTTGATAGGATGAACATGTGGCTAAGTTTCATCTCTCCTCCATCATGCTTCATAATACCAATATCCACATTAGTGAATCATCACACACTGAGGCCAATGAAGTTCCCAATTCTTTCCTACTGATCCTCATCTTCACCTTTGCCATCCCTTTGGCCTTTGTTATCTCCACTACATTCCTTCTCTAACTGCCACACTCAAGTGTTTCTTGGTCACAACCTCCTATCTTTCCAATGCCCTTCTTCCTCACATTTAATTTTTACCCTCATTATAACTTGACAGTTTTCTGAAACTTTCAATTCTCACCATCACCACCCTGTTTCATACTCTTGGTGTTCCATTCTTAACCAACACAACAGTTTTCTCTAATTCTTTTTTCTGACTCATGTCTTCAGCTGAACCTGTACAGGATAAATTATCTTTCTAAAGCAGAATCTCTCTTCTACATTAGGCTAAATGAAGGAAGCTAGACACAAAACATACATGCTGTATTATTTCATTTATATAGAATCCCATAGAAAGCAAAACTACAGTGATAGAGACCAGATAAATGGTCTCGGGAGGAGGGGGGGATGGGACCGACTGCCAAAAGATACAATATAACTCTTTAGGGGAAAAAATGGTTTTATACTTTGCATTGTTTACATTACTGAAGACAATTGTTAAAATTTATGTGCTATATACTTTAGATGGGTGTATTTTATTACATGCAGATACTTGAATAAAGCTGATTAAAATAATCTCCATCCATACACATTTAGAGCTTCCCTCACAGCCGACTAAACAGAGCCCTTTTGCTGTAACCTGAAATTTCAGGCCCTCCCAGATTTTAGCTAAACCTATCTTTCCTAGCCTTATGTCCTACTAATCTACTATGCCTATTTTATGCTGAATCCAAAGAGGGAGATTAGCAATCTAGCATGTGTCATGTTCTGCTCAAAGTATTCCACTTCCATGACTATGTCACATTATGTTTGTACATTCACTTGCTGATGGAAAATTGGGATGTTTCTACCTTTTGGCTATTATGAGTGATGCTATGAACACTGAGTACACATCTATTTGTTCAAGTTCCTGTTTTCAATTCTTTTATATATCTAGGAATGCTAGATCATATAGTAGAACTCTATGTTTGAGTTTCTGAGGAAGGGCTAACCTGTTTCCTACAATGGTATACAATTTTCTGTAAGAAATGCGCAAGGGTTCCAATTTTTCCACATTCTTGACATCACTTATTATTTTCCAGATTTTTGATTATCACAGCCCTCATAGATGTGAAGTGATACACAATGGTGGTTTTGCTATAGATTTCCCTAATGATTAATGATGGTGAACATTTGTATATCTTATTTGAAGAAATTTCTACTCAAGTCCTTTGTTATATTTGAATTGGATTTTTCTTGTTATTAAATTGTGAGTTTTAAAATATATTCTGGATACCAATCCCATCAATATATAATTTGCAAATAGTCTTCAAGCCTGCTGGACCAGCACTCATCACTTGAGCCACACCCCTACTACTGTTTTTTTGCTTTCTTGATGATGTCCTTTGATGCAAGAAAATTCTTAATGTGAATGAATTCCAATTTATTTTGTTGTCTGTTCTTTTGATGTAATATATATGAAATCACTGCCAAGCCCAATGTCATGAAGATTTTATGTAATGTCTTCTATGAGTTTTACTTTTGGTTCTTCCGCCTGCACTGTCATATAAGTACTGCGCGCTAACCGACTGCACAACTGGAGCTCCATACTTTTGGTCCTTAAGTTTAGGCTTATGATACATTTTGAGTTAATTTTTATATGTGGTAAGGTTAGGACCCAACTTTATTCATTTGCATTTGGATATACAGTTTTCCTAGAACCTTTTATTAAAAAAGACTGCCTATTCCTCCACTAAATGATTTTGGCACCTTTATCAAAAATCAATTGAATATATATATGTGGGTTTGTTTCTGGACTTTCTGCTTTCTTCTTGTGTGATTTTCCCCTTTTTTGATTAAAATGATACTAATGTACTATCTTATAGTTCTGGAGGTCAGACACTTAATACAGTCTCAATGGCTAAAATTAGGGCATCACCAGAGCTGCACTCTGAAGGCACAGTTTCCCTTCTCTGCCTCTACAAGCTGCCCACACCCCTTGGCTTCTGGCCTCTCTTCATTGCTTTTGTTTTGTTTTCTTTATTTGTGGGGCTGGGGATGAACCCATGGCCTTGAACATGCTAGGCAAGTGCTCTGCCACTGAACTACAACCCTAACCCCCTTCCTCCATCTTTAAAGGCAGTAGTGTAGTATCTTCCAAGCTCTAGCTGTTATGGTTTGGCTCTGTTTTTACCCTCCAAAACTAGTTCCTATATGTAACAGCACTGAAAAGTGATGGGACTTCAAAAGTGATTGGTTGTTAAGAGAAATTAAGGCCTGCTCATGGAAGTGGGTTAATTCTCTTAGAACTAGATTAGTTAACAGAAGATAGGTCTGTCATAAGGTGAGGCTGCCTCTCTTGTTTTGTCTCTTTCCGATACACTCACTTGGCTTTCTACTTTTTCACTATGAGATGAAGCAGCATGAGGTGCCAAGATCATGTAAGCCAAAATAAACTTCTCTCCTTTATAAGCTCCCAGACTTAGGTATTCTGTTATAGCTCAGATACTCTGTTACAACAACTGATTCCTACTTATAAGGACTTTTGTAATTACACTGGCCATACCCAAGTAATCCAGGATATACTATGCATCTCAAGATTCTTAATTTAATCTTGTGTGATGTTTTAAGGAAATATGGATTTATCTGTTTAGCTATTACCACCAAAAAATATTTTACTTTTAGATTATGATAACTTTTAAAAGTCTCCCTCATCTTCATCTTGGCTAACTGGTCTGGTTATTGGGTTAGGCTTGCTAAAGTACTACAATTTGAAATATTTTACTGAATTAGAAAGTAATAAAAGTATTTAGATTCTAGAAAAACATCCAAACACAAGTCCCTGTATCCTCTACTGACATGTTTTGCCTAGGATGTATCACAGCATAGGGTTATGCCTTCATTTCACTTCAAAGTGTCAGATAAGGACAGCCTTGCCAAGGACTCAAAGTGGTAAGTTTATATTTATGCCATCTACAATTTTATTTTTTAAGTAGCTAAAATTGTATATGCTCTACAAGTCAAAGGTATAAAGGATATGAAATGAAAATAAAGTAGTACTTTTAAAAACAGAGCTTTATGTTTTTTATGTTTGACACAAGTCAAGTTTTATATGTACTAACCACAAAATAGGGACTGGGGATACCATTCAGTGGCAGGGTTCTTGGCACTGGTGAGTCCCTAGGTTCAATCCCCAGAACCCAAAACAAAACAAACTAAATAAGGAAAATTAGTGTTTATTATATTGGCACCCCCAAAATCACTTTATTCTAAAACTACTCCTTTTTTCTCTAGCTACACTGCTACAGTGAGAACACAGCCTTCAAGTGTGACTCATCTAACTGGCCACTTTGTTAGCTGGGGACACTTGGTCCCAGATTGGCCTATAAATTTTCTTCTCAGGGAATTTATAGTTAGAAGAACTTCTAATCTCGGACTAGCTGCCCTCTCGAATTGAGTAGCTGCTAGGAGCAGTTACTTTCTACTCAGTGCACTGAGAAGCTAATTTGGAAACAGAAACCAACCAAGAATAGTGGTTAGAGACAAGAAGGAAGGACAATATCCTGGTTCCCACCTTTACCCTGATGACAATCTACTGTATCTTCTGCTATTAAAACTTTTTCCAGCAGCAAAGTCTAAGAAGTTTTGCTCAAGCTCATTTGTTCTGTATTAAATTTACATATTTTTTGTCATGTGAATAATAGGTACAAAAAATAAAGCAATCAAACCAAATAAAATTAAACAACTGTTATGGGCATAGAAACTTTTTTTTTGGTGGTACTGGGGATTGAACTCAGTGCCTTGTGATTGCCAGGCAGCCACTCTATCGTTTGAGCCACACACCCCACCCCTTTCTGCTTTATTTATTTTTTTGGATAGTCTTGCTTTATACCTGGACTGGCCTGGACAGTGGTCATCCTATTTATGTTTCCTGCATAGCTAGGATAATAGGTCTGTGCCACATACCCAGCTACTGGCTGAGATAGGGTCTTAGCAACTCTTTGCCAGGGCTGCCTTAAACCAAACCCTCCCCAGTAGCTGGTGTTATAGGCATGAGCCAACACACCCAGTCAAGAAATTCTTTTCAAAAGCACATAATAATGGTCAAAACAGTGATTTACTCATTACTGAATTATGCTTTACTGTTGCTAATAAAGAATTATAAGGTATTTAATTTCTTTTCTCAGTAAGTATTTTCCTTTTTTGCAGTACTAAGGTTTGAACTCAGGGCCTACACCTTCAGCCACTTCACCAATCCTTTCTCGTGTTAGGTTTTTTCGAGATTTGGCCTTGTGAACTATTTGCCCGGGCTAGCCTCGAACTTCGATCCTCCTGATCTCTGCCTCCTAAGTACCTAGGATTACAGGCATGAGCCATTGGCACCTAGCAAAACATTTTCTTAGATACGTCACAAATTGAGAGGCTCTCCTATACTCACTTTTCAGTGGCTCTTTCTCTAAACGGGAATCCTCTGGTGCATCAAAACGGCCTACTGGTAATTTTGGCTTCTTAAAGGATTGTTTGGCAGGCTCAAAAGTTCCTTGAGAAGAACTTACTGTCTTCCAACAATGATATAGAAGGGGTGATCCTACCAAAGTAGAGAAAGTAGAAAAAGAGGAGCTCTTCACTTATTTAAAAATGGAAATAGTTTTTACTTATTTGATTTTAGTTTATACATTCATATCTACCAAAAGTTCAACAGGTTACAGAAGTGGTAGGGTTCTGTCTAGCAAGTGTGAAGCCCAAAGTTCAAACCCCAGTACTGCCACTCCTCCCAAAACATAAAAAAGGCAAAAATGGACAGTAAAAATTCTTTATTCCACCCCTCTTTTCTAGACAGCTATTTCCTTCCCTTGAAGGCAACCAGTTACTAGGATGAAAAAAGAGCTATTTAAAATAGTTAACTATTATCAAAATTGTAGAAAACTTTAGAAAGCAGTGATTCTTATATAAAGTAGTGCCCAAATACCTGGAATCACACTATTAAAAGTAACTAAATAGGACTGGGGATGTCGCTCAGAGGTACAGTACTTGCCTAACATGCATAAGTCCCTGGGTTTGACCCCCCAGCCAAAAAAAAAAAAAAGTAACCTAGTATGAATTTTACAATATTTTTTGTATGTTGTCTTACAATAATGATATTTAATATTTAATTCTTTAGAACTCACAAGGGACTGTATTTAGTATTCTTATATTTAAATCTTAATCATGGTCCTTTCTTGTCAACTGAAAATTTTAAAATGTATTTGGCATCTGCGATGTGTAAACAAGGTCATTTTCTCTTTAGGTTTTAAAAAGAAAGTTAAACTTTCAGTAATGTGAAAGAGTTCTCCAACTCCTGGCTGAGATAATATTTTGTGAGGGCAAAACCTTGCAAAAAATGACCTCACGGTTAGAAGTTTTCAACTTTTGGGGGGGGTGGGGCTAGGGGTTAAACTCAGTTTCTTGCTTGGAAAACTGGTGCTCTATTATTTGGACCACACACCTCAGGTCCATTTTGCTCTGGTTATTTTGGAAGGGTGTGTAGGGGGGTGGGTGCTTCATGAAGTATTTGCCCTGACTGGTCAAAAAGCTTGATCCTCCTGATCTCAGCCTCCCAAGTAGCTAGGGATGTATCTAGAGGCCAGAATTCAAGGCGGCTCACACACTGAAAGAACAAAGTGAACTGCACACAAAACCACCTGGGGGATCTTGTTAAAATGCAGATTCAGAATAGTTCAGGGTGGGGCCTAAGATTCTGCATTTTTTTACAAGCTCCCAGATGAGGCTCATGACATTGGCCCAAAAAGTAAGAAAGAAGAAAATCTCTACTGAAGGAAAAGAACGATCAAGGAAGGAAAAGTGTCTTTCTCACTTAGTGAAAAAAGCAGCCACTCTGAGATTCTAGGGCCAGTTGGCTGGCTACACCTGTGGTGAGGCCGTTTTACACACTTAGTGAATAGTACAAACCGTGAGCATCTTAATATAAAAAACACCAAGTCTAAAACTGGAGTGCTTCCAAATACATGGTAATGGCAGGAACAAATCCTTGGAGCAGAAATACTCTCTCAACCCATGTCTCGTGGAAGTACCACAGATTAAGATTCCCAGTAAAATAGCCAAGAACACAAATCATCACAAATGAGAGCCAGCAGGATCAAGAGAACAAAATTCTTCAGCAATTCCATTTCACATCACGGGTTACACACATAAAAATGTGTAGCAGGCAATCCTGGTGTTTGTGGAATTGCCCAAACGCCCACTGAGAATGGAAAATCTGTCACTCGCACGGTTAAACGAACAACTACATCACACTTTAATATGACTAGTCTCAAAACAGCGTAAGCTGAAATAAAACAAAAGAAATACAAACCGCATGGAAACATACGCCAAGGTCAAAAGCGTATGAAGTTACGCAACTGTAATACAAAGTACATAGCAATCCACAGTGGAAAGTCTGTTCTTAAATTGGATCAGTTCATAGACGTCATTTTGCTTCAAAACTTATACATGCACTACGTATGCTTTTGGTATCAAATATCTCATGATTGTTTAGTGAAAAAGGGATGTTGAATGAACACAAAATTTTAAGTTATTATCTTGGGAACTGGATGATGCGAAATTTTCGCTTTCTACAATATTCATGTCTGGACCACTTAAGATTTTTACCACGAGTAGGTAATATGTCTTTGAAAGAAATGATAAAAGAAATTTAAAAATACATAAAAATAGGGCGACTTACGAAGGCAGTAAGTCTGTTCTCGACTAACAATTTCCCGGCCGTCACCACTGACGTTCCCTTTACCATGCTCCGTGGGATGCTAACTCAGTCACGGGCTGAGAAACGGTCCGACAGAACCGTTTTCAACATGCTGGTTTCTACTGAAAGCGTGCGTGATTCTTCTAATTATTACACGTGCCTTTGGCCCAATTGTGCACCTTTTCAATTTTTTAATGTTGAAAACGGCCGCCAATCCTTTCTGGTAAGTACGGCAGTCATCCCCACTAGCCGGGGAGCCCGCGCCGCGCGCACCCGGAGACCCCAGGACCCCGGACAGTACCGCGCGGCGCCCGGCGGCCGGGCCGCGGCGCCAGAGCCCGAGCCGACGCCCTCGCACGGCGGGACACACACGGAGCACCCGCGCACTCGTCACCCCATCCGCGACCTCGGCCCCGGGGCTGAGCGCCTTACTTGCGGTTCTCCACGCCCAGGCCGAAAAGCGACCAAGCGACCCGGCGAGACTGGATGCTGTCATGGCGCCGTCAGCAACGTTACCGCAGGCGCAGCCGCTTGTGAGGGGCGGGCGCAGCCGCAGGCGCAGGCGCAGGCGCAGCCGCTTGTGAGGGGCGGGCGCACGCCGCTCTGGGGGGCGGGGCTCCTTGCTCAAACCCCGGAGTGCAGCTGCGTGTCAGCTCATCTCTGTCTTCCCCACACCACCGTCTCCAGACTCTAGTAATCGCCATTACACATAATATGTAAAATGGTAGTAGAGTTTATTAGGAAAGGAATTTAGGATAAAAGTAGGGAAGAAGTGGCAAAAAAGAGAGAACATTTCCTGTTCCCCATGCAGGATGCGGGAGTAAAGACTCCCTATTACACATTTTATAAACAAGTAGGATAGGAGCTTACAGGCTTCATACACAAAGGAGATTACCCTGATTTTTATCAGTACATATATTGAGATTTTACACTGTAACCACAAATATGTTTTGAAAGTTTGAGATGGAAATATTAAATACCGATTTCATCATACAACACGTGTACATGTGTCAAATTATCAGTGTACTCCATAAATTTGCACGATTAGAATAAGTAAAAATAAAACATCAAATTAATCTGTTTCCCCAAGTCGTTTTTGAAAATAAATTTTAGTAACTTCAAAATATATCCCAGCGTTTTACTATTAAAAACGCTGAGTAAAATCTTTATACATTAAAAAAAAAAAGCCTTCTACCGTCGTTAGCTAGATGTAAAAATAATTTCATTAATCTAGTACTCTTTCATTTATGTAGTATGTTCCTTTTATGTCATTCTTCCCGTCCTTTCAAGAGCTCCTAATTAGTCTGTTCTTGACCCACTGGCCAACTGACCTGAAAGGTGAGATTTTTCTAAAAAAATTATTGTACCGGGGATACACTGTGACATTTACAAAAATTCTTAGAATATATTGGATCCATCCCTTCCATCATTCTCCTTTAGCCCCCTCACTACATTCCTGGAATAGTTCCAACAGGTGACAGTTTTAAGTAAGGTACAGAGCAAGAGAACGTTCTCCACTTGGCGGTCCAGTGGAGCTGCCAGCTGCCCCAGCAGCTCCAGCGGTGTTCAGAGCATATGTGGCAGATTAAGCTGCTTCATGCAACCTGTGGCAAGTCTTTACAGAATTGCAGTGAACCACCCCTCCTCCCCACCAGAATTTTGTCTTTTAGAAAACTTCCTGGCTAGCTTTTGGGCCTTGGTAGTGTGTGACATCAGGTGTCTATACAATCTATTTCTTATAGATTGAGAGTTTCCTGGTCCTCCTAGATAATGAGCTCTTTTACTACGAGGTGGTGTATACTCAAGCAATCTTCATTGGCAGGTAGCTTACACTCCTGAAGTCACACTTTTTTTTGTGGTACTGGGGCTTGAGCTACTCCACCAGCCCTTTTTTGTGATGGGGTCTCTGCTGGCTTCGAACGCGATCCTCCTGAGTAGCTAGGATGACAGGCTTGAGCCACCTGTGCCTGGCCTAAAGTCATACTTTTCACTCTTAGCTTTCTGGTGGCTGCCCTCAAATATTTCCAATAGGATAGCAGCATTGTTAGAGACTTGACAATTACCTCATTCATCAATGATTTAAATAGTGTATTATAGTTAAATGTAGATGCCGATAAGTTCTAAGAAATATTTATACATTTTTATATGGAAGATAATTTATATCATCCATGTGTAGAGCTTTTTAAACATCAACTTTACTTTCTAGGTAATGTGGCTGTGCAATATTTTTTAATTTTATCTTTTTACTTTTCTATTACTTTTTCATGTTTTGCTAATATTTCAGTGAAACTTTAAGTCCAAATGTATGTCTGATTGCTTATTATTGGCTTTCCATAATCCTTACATCAGACTACACCTGATTAGAGGCTGTTATTGCTAGAATAGCACGGGATTTTAAATTTTCTAATTTTGGGGTATTAGCTAGCTGACTATAAATTTTACTGTTAACATTTTACTGTGTTTTAACTGGAAATAAAATTATAGCTGCTGAAGTATATTTTTGAATCTAGTACCCGGGATTACAAGTATGTACCACCATGCCCGGCTGGTATGTTTTTGTATTTGGGTGAATTTTAGTAGAAGAACTGGTCCCATTTTCTACTTTGGAAGCTGCCATCTTTGATGCCTGATACCTGAGCACTGGCACAAAATCTTAAACTCAGTCAGCCGGACATTTCCACCAGATTTTGAATCTGGAGTGAGTGATGCATTACTGCTAGCAGAAGTATACATGATGTTCCAGCACTTAAGCTTAGAACTTGGCTAGTATTTTCCTCAGCTGGTTTGTTTTGGCTTTTGTTTCCCAAATCTGGTTCTCTAGCCTTTCCATTAATTTTGTGAGCTACCTGCTGTTCTTCCAATAAACTCTTTTTTCTGCCTAAGTTAATCATAATTGTTTGTTGTTTCCAACCAAGAACTGTTTACGGTATACTTTGATGGGATTCACTAAGCGTCAATTACAGCATGTCAGACACTCACTCCTCTCCTTCACAACCTCACCTCATTTCCTACTATGGAATTTGGAGGTCAATAGTATATGATGGTTTCCCTGATAAATTGTAAATTAAATGTTAAGACTTTCAACCAAAATCATTGATAGGTTTTTAAAACTGTATCGAAACAGCCAATAACCAGTCAAATATGATCCTATGAGCAATTTATCTTTAAATACTATTTATACGGTTATGAGTAAGTGAGAGTACTTTGATAAGCCTTGGAAGCTACTCAAACTTAGAAGATCCATGATGTTTCAAACTGAGGTATATGAAGATGTAAACTGTGTGGCCAAAATATTTGGTGGACAATGGAAATATTTATGTTTCTCAGTTACAATGCTCTTAGTATATTATTGTGTAACCAATTTATGAAAAATCTGAGTACTTTAAATTCTTTTAACTACTTGGTATATACAAAAGATCGGTCTATAGAATTAGTTTAGTAGATGTAATTATAAATGAAAATACATACAGTTATTGATTGTTTAATGATGGGGACATGCTCTGAAAACAGATTTCAGTGCTATGGAAACATCAGAGTGTACTTGTAAAAACCTACATGGTACAGCCTACTACACAGAGAGACTATAGCATATACCACAGTACATGCACTTCAGTTGGCTGAACTTCATTCTGTAGTGAGTGACTGTACTCTAGCATTCTAAGAATAAGCAATGAATTATACAAGTTTTAGTTATTTCTCCTGAAAGGCATTTGTTCATTTATTAACATCAGAGGCAATTAACACGATGCTAAAAATAAACATGCATTAATTATACAATGCATACTTACAAAACCTTTTGTCCATTACAACTGGCGAATGCAAACAGACCTTCCATTCACCCTTAGTGCATTATTACTTTCACAAGTAAAACAGGAAAAGAAAATAGTGAATTTTATGCTATTCAGCACCTTTAGTAAAGTCAAAAGACTTAACATCTCCATATATCAAAAACATTTGCATCTGTGTCACCAAACATGTAAATTATTTTTTCCATTTAACATTAATTATTTTACTTACATTACTCTTTAGATCAATATTTTAACAATATTTAAAAATTATCTAAATTCATAAAAGTATCCCATAAATTTCAATATTTAGTTATTATGTACATACAAGGATGTTCATGAAAAAAGTTAAAGAAATATAGTCAGAAAGTTCAAGCAACATCAAATTTAGCAAAATTCCAACCAAATCAAGGCAGAGGGCATTCTAAAATCTTCATATGCTGCTAACATGAACATGAAAAGTTCCAGTAATAAAGTCAATATGAGAAATAATGTGAAATCAACAGTAGAAAATATATTTTAATAGGCATGATATGTTTAATAGCAACAGTAATAACTTTATAGAAAACTTTGATAACATTGCCATGTGTGAGCTACCTGGTTTGATCAAATGATAAATGTGTATTTTAGGATTAAAGAAGTAAAATTCAAAAATATATTTTAGCAGCCATAATTTTATTTCCAGTTAAAACACAGTAAAATGTTAACAGTAAAATTTATAGTCAGCTAGCTAATACCCCAAAATTAGAAAATTTAAAATCCCGTGCTATTCTAGCAATAACAGCCTCTAATCAGGTGTAGTCTGATGTAAGGATTATGGAAAGCCAATAATAAACAATCAGACATACATTTGGACTTAAAGTTTCACTGAAATATTAGGTAGCAAAACATATGAAAAAGTAATAGAAAAGTAAAAAGATAAAATTAAAAAATATTGCACAGCCACATTACCTAGAAAGTAAAGTTGATGTTTAAAAAGCTCTACACATGGATGATATAAATTATCTTCCATATAAAAATGTATAAATATTTCTTAGAACTTATCGGCATCTACATTTAACTATAATACACTATTTAAATCATTGATGAATGAGGTAATTGTCAAGTCTCTAACAATGCTGCTATCCTATTGGAAATATTTGAGGGCAGCAACCAGAAAGAATTTCTCTAAAAATATTTCCGAATCAAGAACAGCTATATGTGCAGCTCTCCCAATGAGTGAATCAGCTGTATTGGGCAATGCATTGATGACATTGTATCGAACCAAATTACAGTCTTTGCTTTGTAGAACTGGGCGAAGCAAATTGTGGATCATTTCTGAATAGATCTGTCCTATAGAACAAACAGATAAAAGGAAAACTATTTACGTAAGTGAGAAAAAAATTCTATGTCAACTTTTATGTAGTTTATAAAATTTAGTTACATTATTTCTATACAAAGCAGAAAAATTATCTTTAGAGTTTCATTTTTCTTCAGCTATCTTCTTTGATCTTTTTATAGAAAATATAAGTAATCACATTATCAAAGTAAAAATAACCATTTATTATATACTGTTTTTGTCAATTTGCTATTTTTAACTCAAAGCAATGTATATAACAAAGAAAATAGTTTCCTTCAAAATTAAGTCATTTGTAATTCATTACAGCATTATGAAAATAAACCAACCATAGTGAAATACATATATTTTTCTTTTTTTAAAGTGGTACTTGAGGTTGAACTCA